CCGTGTTGGGAACATACCAATAAAACCAGTATGATGATGGTAGTTTGTGAGGGCAGGTATGAGCGGCTGCACGGCGGCATCGTGCTGAGGCACAGCTGTAAAGACTCATTAAAAATACACACACTCATTAAAGATACACACAAACACAAACAAAGCCAGCGGAGGTGGAGCAGCAGAAACCATGAGGGAGCGAACGCTGCCAGACACCGGCTGGCGGTCCCGGTGGACCAGGACGCCCGGGGCTCCACCAACACACACGCTGGTGCTTCTATCTTTGTGAGGACCCTTCTTGACATAAAGGATCCCCCAGACCCTCGATCTGAACCCTGAAACTGAGGCTCAGCCTTCAAACAAGCCCTTTGAAGAGATGTGTGACTGTAGACAAGCAGACCATGTGACCTGGAGGCCGTCTTGGTCACCACATAGGATTTGAACGGTTTTATTTCTATAGCTGTAGGAGCTGAACACTCTGCATCACCACGCGGTGTTTCATTGGGTTTCTCTCTAACGTTCTATTATAAGGTCTTAAACGTCCTGTAACGCCACCAAATGAAGCTGAATCATATCCTCTGAGTGTCACTGCAGCACTTTGAGCAGCAGCTGTTTTCAGGACGTCAGTTTAAAAACTAATAATTTGATTTATTACATTAATAATATCGACCTCACAGCAGGAACTCAGTAACAAACGTCACTACTGAGGATCAAGTCTTTTGTTAGTTCAGGCTTCTGTAGAGATGTTCTGCCGTTCGTCTGAGACGTTTCTTTTACTCTTTAGTTGCACTTTGCTGGAGGTCGCTCTGCCTTTGTCTTTAAAATAGCCCAAAGGTTGGATTCAACTCGTCCAGGTCAGCGTTTCCATCTTCTTCTTCTTTAGAGGACAAGTTCTACTGGACTGGATACGTTAAGATAAATACACATTTGATCATTAGAACGTCTAGATGCTGGAACATCATCACATGACTTTCCAAACTTGTTAAGTCACAGGTTTCTCTTCTGCCTTCTTTAGAACCTCCTGTGTGATGTTTTCAGGGTGCTAGATGTCTTCAGTCTGTTGGACAGTGTTTTGGTATCTTCACAGACATCCATGCTCTCATGAAGCCCCGTATCATGATGCTGCCACCTCCGTGCTTCACTGTGGTGGTCCTGATCAGGTTCACACCAAACGCTCTGGATGATGTCTGAGCAGAACAAATCTGGTCTCAGTTGACATGAGGATGTGCTCCCTGTAACTCATCGACTGCAGGTCTGACTAGTGGTCCTGTGGTTCCTTCTGTACCTCCTGGTTCCTGCTGAGTTTCAGCTGATGTCCAGTCGATCTCAGAACATTCTGCTCCTTCTGCCATCTTTGTGAAGGTTTTGTGATGGATGACATTGATGCCATTTTAAAACTCTGCTCTTGCAGTTAAAGCTGATTGGAAATCACAGTTTTCTCTGAATAATCACATTTTCTAACTTGTGTGAGTTCAGCTCCTACTTTGTGGCCTGTCTGTTGAACATAGTCTTTCTAAAGTTTTATTTTTCATGAGGAGATGGTCCACTGTTTAGCTCAGAGGTGGTGTTTGTCGGTCTCAGGTGTCCCAGAAGATACGCGGGTCAGATCTGGTTCATATTTTCAGGCCTGCAGACTGAACTCGTATCTGTGTCATCGAGGCCCATTGAGAGCATCAGGTTCACAGCAGCTATTCAGCAGAAAGGCTGAGTGTTTGTTTGTCCTGCTCTGAATAGAGACCGGCCAGTCCGTTATTGTCCCGCTCAGCGCCTGGTTTACACATTCAAATCTGTGGAGATAAGATCGGGCCGCTATATTTATACGACTATTCACACAGAACGGCAGTTCAACGTGATTTACCTCCACCGACCTGAGCTCCTGGTAACGACAGGGAGAAGTCTTCTGTTATGTATTAATCATATGTCTGGTGGTGTCTCTGCTGAATCGTCTGTTTCTTGCTTTTCTCAGCAGCTGTTCGTAGAACCTCCTCTGGGATCCGAGGAAGCGCGGAGTCAAGTTTGGATCGACCTCGTGAGAACGTTCTCGAGAAACACAAAGAGACAAACATGAGACAGCAGCCGGTGACGACAGTCTGGTGTCAGATCCCCACTGAGCAGGACGACGTCCAGGTGAGGCTGATGGGAAAAGACGGAAAGTCAAAGGATCACCAGCATCGAGATAAAAATCCTCCTGAGCGCAGCAACGACCCAGAAAGTGTTTCCTGAGTTTGATGACACAAGTCGACTAAGTGGCCGAGACTCACGTTCAGTTAAAACACGATGAAAACAGAACAGGACCTTCAAGGAAATTTAACTTCAGACCGTCTAATGGCACATTCATGCTTGTTGCGTCTGTGTGCAGGAAAACAGCGTCTAAAATGTTTGTTGTGAGGAAATCGTCCACACAGTCATCGATGCTTGATTCATACACGCTTTCCATCAGCAGAGTTTTTAGTTCCTCAGAAATCCTTTGCTTTGTCCGTCCGCTGTGGTCACCTCAGGAATCGCTGCCGTGCTGCTGCTGCTGGACAACCTTCAACCTGCTGCTGCATCTTGTGAAAAGTGTGAAGTCACAGCCTTCCAGAAACACGCAGCAGAACAACTGAAGTATAAATAGACCTGCATGTAGCTCTGCTTTGAAAACCCACATCAGCCCACAGAAGCCATTAATTAGCCTCCAGATGATGAAGCATGTGCAGCACATTAACATACAGCCTCCAGACAGCAGAGGGACGTCACAGATCTGTGTAGAGTTACAGCTAAAGATCTTATTATTACAGAAAAAACTCAGTTAAAAGCTAAATATGTGACTTGATATGCATTTTTTCAGGGGTTCAGTTAACGTGTAGAGCGGGGCTTTAATCTGGACTGCAGGGCGGCCGTTTGACCTTAAAGCTAGAACTGCGTTGCCGGAAGTCTCCTTCATTCAGCCTAATCACGTCGGCTAAGCCGTCCTCTGTTGTTTGAATTAAATCAGCCATTAGCGGATAATTCTCTTTAATACTATCCCGCTATAATCCACGATCCATTCTGTCGGCGGGCCCTGGGGCGTCTTCAAGGACCGGAGAAAAACAGAAAACAAAAGTGGAATAGGATTTGTTGTTTTGAGAGAAGAAGGCAATTCGTCTGCAGGGTTTCAGGCTCGTGACGGTGACGTCACAAACTGTAACCGTAAACAATGCATCCCTGAAATCAGAGGTCATCAGGAGGG